TAAAATATATATTTGTATGAGATAAATTTAAATGAATCTATATCATGTAATATCTAGAATTTAAATTATATACCATGAAATGTGCTTAGCACCGCACGTGTTTTCATATTAACGTGTTCGCTCAGCGGTAATCGCGCGGTACGCAGTCCGATTTCAGTCGCTCTTTTATGGCACAGGCCCTTATGATGATTATGATCAACCAAACCTCCAATCACATATACAAAATCCCCTTCAATACGATCTAGCACAGTGTCAGACTCACAAGTGAGATACACTATCTTCTGCTTTGGGAAGACATCATTGTGCGTTTGGTCGAAATGGTATTTTAAATGCCAATTCTCCCAACCATCATTTCGTTTAAGGCTACTATGAATTCGTCCGTCAGTTTTGATGCCGGTGATATGCAGATGACCTGGACATTTGGAACGACGGTTAATCGTATAAATGCGTAGGCACTGTTTGATACATTTCGACACGTCGCGATCAAGCATCAAATCGTCGTAGTCCAAATCTATAGCAACACAAAGCTTACCCGTCTGCTGCTCAGTGCACTGAAGTTGACGTTTCTTTAACTCTTTTCGTGACGGTCCAACACGTGCTGGTAATCCTTGAGCATGTGCTTCAAGACGCTTTTGTTTCTGCCTTTCACGCTCTTTCAGGCGTCGGACTTTTTTTAGCTCTTCGTATTTTTCCAATCTTTTCTGTTTCTTCAATTGATTCTTACTCAGTGGGGTTGCAGGCGTTTCTCCAGGTCCTCGCGGTTTTGTTTCGATTCCGGATTCATTTTCTGTTTGCTGCTTGGCATCTCCAATTTTTTGCAATTTTATATGCGGCCCTAAACTTTCTTCCGGCATTTTTGTTTTTATCATGCATCAGCTGAGCGAAATTCGTGCAAAACGTAGGCAAAAAGAAAAGCAGAGCTGTTAAAAGTGTTAGAGCGTTATAAACCGAAATTATAGTTCGGTCAGAATGGGCACTGGGAGGCGAAAGCCGGCAAGGTATTCGAAGTTGCGTCCATTACCGGCGGTCTTCACGTGCTGGCAAATCTCCCTTGCGTGACGATGCATATTTGGCCTGAAAAACTCGAAATGTGTGAAAAAAGTGTGCTGTCAAATGCCCAGTCAACAAAACTCTATCTCGCTTGCAAGACGCCCCTTTCAAGTTGTTGCGCATGTAAATCCAAATTAGCTGTTCTTTATTATCGCCCAGATAGTAAAGGCCCCGCCAGATAGAAAATCTTTTCTGCGCCGCAGGATGCTTTTGACATGGTGAGACGGCACAATGGGCAAGTTTTTAAGACGCAACTGTTTACCTCAACTGTTGCGGAAATACTGTCAATTGTTGAATTAAACAGTTACGCCTTAGAGACGGTATTATACACAAACTGTGAAACGAGTTGCTGATATTTATAAACAAGCAAAATCAAATAAAAGATCACAAAAAGAAAAATATTTATTAACATGATTCAATAATTAAAGCTTTGCTCACTAGTGACATTCGAGTTTTGACACTCTCTTAACTCCCTTACAAAAGATTGCACACACACTCTCATTCACATGCTAAGGCAGCCAATTTTGTCAAGAGGGAGCGAGAAAACTCTTTTCTGAGCAATCCTTTTATTATTGCACCATGGTTTATTAAGCCAAAAATATATACATCTATCTACGTATGTACATTGGAGTAATCCAAAAATGCATGTGGAAAAGTAAAGTCGGAATTTTAATGCCCTCACGCAAAGAACGTAAATGTACAAAGAACGTAAATGTATAAGAAGCGACAACTCGTTACTTTGAAAATGTGCCGGGACGATTTTGACCGTATCTGAAAGGTTGAGATGAGGAGTTCGTCTCCCTTTTAACTCTGTCCGCGGCAGATTTTTGATTTTCGCCACGAATGCGGAAAAAGCAAACAAAACAGAAGAAAAGCGGCAAATGTGAATGTCGGTGATTATTTTGCACAAGTGATTGAAAAATTTATTTTAATTTAGAAAATACATAAATGGAGGTGCAAAATATAAAATATTCAGTGAATGTGTAAGATACTGACGTGCCTGTTTGTGAAAGTGTCCTTATTAATAATAAAAAGTGTTTGTGAGTGCAAAGTGTTCGTCAACAAGTGTCGATTGTTGGCGTCTGTGGATAAAAAGTGTTCATTATTTTAAACAAAACCAGTGTACTTTTATATAAAAATGCATTAGTTTAATAAGAAATCTATGCATTTATATATGAGTGTACTTATGTTTTGTTTTCATCTGGAAATTTACATATTTAAAGTGTGCAAAAAGATGGTGTGTTGGGAGATTTGATGGATAAAGTGTGTATACGGCGGCTTTATTACAAAACCAATGTTTATTATATACAGACGGCATAAGTTTAATTTAAATCTATGCATTTATACTTGAGTATGCATACATTTTGTTATTATCGGGCAAGAATAAATGGTTTCAAATTTTTTGTTTATATGCATGCAAAAAATAAACGCATAAATGTGAAACATAAGTTGTCTCCGTCTTTCTTACATCATCCGCCAAAACAAACGCGTAAATGTGAAACATAAGTTGTGTCCGTCTTTCCCACGTCCTCCGCCATCTTTATCTTGACAAATTCTTAAATTCCTGCGAAATGCCGCGTCCTGACATATTTACGCGCATACATATGTATGTTTACAGTAGGCTACTCCTAACTTGAATATCTGTACCTCTATTCTGCTTGTTGCCGGATATTTTGTAACCAGCAAATTTTGTTACCAAACATTGTTAGCACTTCTTGTAACCGCAATTCAAGGTACCTTGGTAACGTTTCAATGTATTCAGCATTCCAGCTATGAAGTTTTGTAGAAATTATGTTGTTGCATTTTTCATGGGGCAATATTTTTTCCCCTGCTTATGAGATGGTAACAAATTTTACTGGTTACAAAAGTGCGCAGAATGTGAAAAGAGTTTATAAAAGAGAGGAGCTTTATTATCCGTTAAAAAATCTGATTACCAACGCAGAATGGGCTTGTTAGGTCGGTGTTATGCAGACAAACTTTTGTTTGCCAAATTAAATGGCGGCTGCTTAGTTTGCTCGGAGGTGGTTATGTCGAGTTTGGCACAGGGTTGCACGTTCATTATGGTTTTCATGGCTATTGCCAACACGAAATGAGAATTTCAGATGTACATAACGCGCAAAATTTAAAATTTTTGTATATGACAACACCGAATTTGCTGCAGTTTGACCAAACAAAATTAGTTTGCTGTGAGAGTCGCCAAACTCGCTCTCTCCGAGTTTGCTGCAACAACAATTGCACGCAGTTTGCCAAACAAAATTTCTGCATAACACCGACCTTAATGTACGATTTTTTGTGTTTGTCGCTTTTGATGATAGTAAACAAAATTTGTGTTACCAACGCAGAATTGGTCTGTATGTATACACTCACTTATACATGCTTCGTAGCTTCGTAGCTTCGCAATTATCAATAATGCAAAATAATTAAATTTTTTGAATTCGTATACATGTTGCTCGTAGTATCAAGAGTCAACTGTAAACAAATCGTAAGCGATCGGTTTACAAAAATTTTAAAATTGATGACCGAAGCTGGTGAATGCAACCATGTTGCCAAATTACATTTGTTGTAAAACCACTTATGTATGTGATTTTAGAAGTTTTGGGTTTACAACAAAATATCATGGGTCATTTGTGCAAAAAATTGATGTTTATTTTGTTTTTTATTAAAATAAAATCTTAAACAACTAATTAATAATTTAAAAGTTGGAAAACCACTGCGATTTAGAAGTTTACAGAATAAATGTCTTAACTCGAGATAAGTTATTTTTGCAAAAGTCCTCAAATTTTACTGCTGAGTTGCAACTTTTCATTTGACTGGCTGTGATTTCTTCAATTTTACATTTTAGAATTTTTGTGGCCCTCGCGCAGAAGTTGCGCTTGTGGGCGATGAGTTTGCGGGGAGAAGTATGGTCATTGAATTTATGAATGAATGAGTTTGACCTTGAAGAATATGCGCATGCGTTTATGAATGAATTTGTTATTGTTGTATTTTAGTGGCATATGCGTATATGTACATATGTACGTATGTACGTATGTTTGCATGGATGTAGAAACATACACATGTTAGGAGGAAAATCGCAAGAGTACATTTGTACAAATTGATGTAAATTATTTTTTGATTATAAATGTACATTTGGTTGATATAAAAAGGGTAGTTTCATCCATAAATTAGAACTTTACAATTTCCATAATAAAGAGGAAGCTTCTAAAGGTCTTGCATAGCGCATGTATTTAATTTACTTATATTTGTTTAAAATTATAAAATAAAATAAATCTATGCACATGCGCATGCAAATTGTTAAATGCCATCAGCAAATAAACAAAAAGAGCTGCGGCCATGTTTTTTCTCATTTCATTTTATTATTTCTATCATCGGTAACTTTTTCTTAACGTTCTTTATCGCCGCGAAACCATATGTGCGGCGAATTCATTTACGAAAATGGATGTTAAAACGGACGC